AACATATTTCTGAGTAGACTAGCACACAATCAGGGTTGGCCTGAGTATGGAAATAATTCTCATCACCAAGGCAAAATTCCAGGGTTAAGAAGAGGCATATGCCCAATGCCTAGACAAAGAGGAAGAAAAAAATAAAATGGTTCTGAGAGCACAAAAGAGAGACAAAAGAATTGTAGAGGCCAAAGATGGATGTGTGTACTGTGGGAAGAGTGTAATAAGAACATGCTGAAACTAATAAACTAAGAGATTAAAAATTAAGCAATTATCAGGGGTCCTGATAACTAATGTCACATTACTTAGGCCAAAGTTGGAAGTCTGTATGGATTTCTAATGGAAAACAAGTAGGAAGTAACACTACCACTGTGAGGCTAGTGTAAAGATCACACTAGATCTTTGGGGATGGAGAAAACCTCTGGGGACCTCCTGAAGAGAAAGGAAAGGCAAAATTCTTTAACCACTCATAGTGAATGCCAGGTTATGGAGAGAGAGGCTTCTAGTCTCAGAAAAGAACAAGTGGAAGGGGCTAAGAGAAGCTGCTAACAGTCCCAGACCATAGTAGGTTGCCCACTGGAGTCAGTGCTCTGTGGGTTTAGAAATGCATTTTCCTCCCAACACACGTGAGTTGGCAACTGTGTAACAAGAATCTCCAGCTTTTTGTCTACCAGGGAAGTGTGGTCTGCTAGCCAGAGGAGGAATACTAGCCCTTACGGATGATTAAGGATAATTCACTGAGTATTAACAGCACTAGACTGGGTTCGGGCCACCAACAGCTAGAGAACCTGTTGGAGATGCCTCTCCAGCCAAAAGGTAGGCACCAGGAGTCAATTCAGTAGCCTTGCTACAAGTGGTCACATCTGCATGGAAGAGGAAAACCTGTATAAAATTATTGAACAGTGGACAAGGCTACATACTGGGTTCCCTTCTTAGGACAGTGGCAGAAGTGTGGCAGCTTTGAAGTTCCTTATTAAGAGAAAGACTCAGGAAGAACAGCAATTGCAAGGCTCTATTGATACACAAGGGGTCTCAGATCAGTTCTGGCATATCAATGGCTGGGCCTTTATTCTGTCTAGAATTCAGGTCCCAAAACACAGGACTCTACCCCCTCTTCCATCCAAATAAGCTTCAAAACACTGATAATTTACTTAGAAAATTAACCTAAACCTAAGAGCCAAATCTCTTTCTGCAACAAGGAGGCTGTCCTTAGAGATCCAAGTGGCCCCATGTGGTCAAGGACAAATTCCAATGTTCTTTTTTTTTCCTAAGAAATTTCCAATTTATTTCTATAGCAAACTAGATGGTGGAGGAAGTTATTCAAACACACCATCCTAATGCATTTGCCTGGGGAAGACTTTTGGCATGGAAGATTTTTGGCACAGATATTTCTGAGATGGGCTGGTCTTTGGGAACATTCTCACCAGTGAGCTAGAACTCATTTTGGAGACATTGACCACATTATTCCCTTGTCCAGGGAGGACATGTTTTTGTTTAGTTTTGAATCCTCACCTCTAGGACATGCTGAAAGACAGAGAGAGAGAGAGAGAGAGAGAGAGAGAGAGAGAGAGAGAGAGAGAGAAAGAGAGGGAGAGAGAGGGAGAGAGAGAGGAGTGAGAAATATCAATCGGTTGCCTTCTGTGTGTGCTCTGACTGGGGATTGAACATGTAACCCAGGTATGTGCCCTGATAGAGAACAGAACCAGCAACCTTTCAGCACACAGGACGATGCTCAACTGAGCCACTCTTGCCCGTTGATGTTTTTTGTTTGTTTTAAAGCTATTGAGAACCAAATCTGAGGGGAATTGGAAGCATTGTCCATCCAGAGTATGGAAGGGACTAAAGAAAGAGACACATGTTGTCCAAGGCAAGCACTGGATTGGTACTTTAACACTTGGAGTGGGTAATTAAAAGAAGGATCTAAGTGCTCAGACCCCTTATTCTTGCCTTCTTCAGATAACTATACATTCACATTAAGTTTCTTTAGTCACTTCTGTTTGAGAGGAGAAGCAAGAAGGAAAGATAATTTACTGAGGAATAGAAAAAGACCTGCCTGGACAGAGTTCTCTTGGAACTGAACTAACGAATAACCTTTCATTCCCAGGAAGAGAATTGTTGTGAGGAAAACTATGTGTTCAGAACTTATTACCCTGGTTTCTAGCATGCAAGGCCACAGGAGCAGTGTACACAAGATCAGTATGGTGTGTAGAGCATATAGCTTCCTATTTTAGTGCAAAAACAAGGAGCCAATATTTAACATCAGCCAGAGTACATTTTAGTCACAAAGTCCTTTGCTTGTACTTGGAAATTGTCCCCACTATGGCAGGATGGCTATGGGGACATTGTGAATGAGGACAATTACAGCAGGAGAAGGTTATTTTCTCTGGTTTGTCTCACTCCCATATTTTAAAAGAAACCATTGCCAGTGAATGATAGCCAGACACATTTAAAGATTACTCAAAAGTAATCTCAGAAATTTGGGATAAACAAAGCTATTGTTCTCTGTTCTTTCCTTTCTTTGCTCTAAGAACAAGAAACATTTTTCTCAACCTATGAAGACCAGCTGGTATCAGATTAGATGAGGTGAGCTGCTGGGAAAACCAGTATTTCTGCATTCTATTTGGACAGGACAGCAGCTCTGGGGCTGTTCTGAGGGATCCTCAATGTGGGGCAGTGATCTCCTGTGTTGAATGGATATGGTCATGGACCCCATTGTTACTGTTGGTCTTAAACACTTCCTTCTCTTTGGGGGCATCAGCAGTCCATGTGGATGAAAACCATGTAAATACAGGGAGAAAGAGCTGTGTTAGGCTGCAGTGTGGATTTCCCATGAGATCAGGGCAGGAGCACATAGCTCCAAGATGCAACATGACCCTGGGAAAGAATTCTCAGAAGCCTAGTGGAAGGCAATGTAGTTCAGTGGGGAAAGGCTCTGGAATAAGAGTCAGGAGATGTAAGTTCTAATCCCAGGTTTGGTCCTAGCCAGTTGTGTGACCTTGGGGAAACTGCCTCTTCATCTCCATTCCTGGCGTGAAAATGAAGAATTTGGAGTAGATGATGTGATCTCAAGGCTCCTTCCAGCTAGAAAACTCTATAATTCAATGTAAGGTAATACTGAAGTCCATAAAGACACAAAGAAATCATGCTAATGGCTATCCTTTCCAAAACAGTGAAGAGAAAAAGTTTTCTCTCAATTTACCTCTAGTTAACACTACTTATGAAGTTGTTCAGCCCAGACCCCATATATACATTTTCTCCTTCTTTGTCCCTATTTCTATTTTTGTAAGGGAGAAAATTCAGGAGGTAGGAACAAGCAACACATGGATTGTGTGTGTGTGTGTGTGTGTGTGTGTGTGTGTGTGTGTAAGAGAAAGAGAGAATTGGGGGAGTGGAGGCAAATGTTTGCTGAATGATATTTGCTAACCGTGCAGAAGGTAACACAATGAGATTTTAGTGGTAAAACTGGACTGTAAAATTGGGAATGAATGACAAGGGTGAAGGTGCTCAGTTACATTTTTCTTTGTTGCCTTGAAAATGGGCTCATTTAAAATGCAATTATCGAAGGCTTAAATTTTGAACTATACCAAATCCCTCTGAAGTGGGAGTACAGAAACATTTCCTTATAATATATTGCAAGAAACATGGAAAATCTACTATTATTATAGAAGACTGTTGGTTTAAATATTATAGTAATGAAAATATGTCCAATTAGTATTTTGTAACGGCACATATGCTACAAGCAAAGAAATGCTCACAGAGCTAGCATAGGGCCTAGACAAAAGAAAATCTCAATTCCTCTTCTGGTCTTGTTTTTTACAGCAGGTCATTTAGCTGCCTCAGCCTCCATTTCATCTTAGATTGAAGGAATTTGACTACATGGGATCTAGAGAAAGGGCAGAGTCTCCAGAGTTCTGACCTGCAGTTTAAAAACATACTTCCTACCTCTCTCTATACTACCTTCCTTCCCAAGTACCAATTTTTCCCATTTAACTATAAATTGTTCTGGGAGAAACTATCCAAACCTTCTAGAAATAAGAAAGGGGGTAAGTAAAATGGAATTCTTAATGGTTTCTAAAAAGCCTACAAATAGAGGAGAGGTGCAAAAAGAGATTTTCACAATTTGAAGTTTTTCAGTGAACAGTTTAACCAGTAATCAGTGCTACCATCTACTGGACTTTTCTTGAACCAAAACTATTTCTTGTAGCTAACGCCATTTGAAGCTTTTCTAAGGGCATCTGGACTACTCCTTGCACCACTGAATTCTCCTCTACACAGTGCTCATCAGCAATGCCACCAAGTTGCTGCTGATCCATGTTGGGGTATCTTGTAGTATCTCCTAATTATAAAGTGGTTGTATGCTTGTATGTAAGTGCACACACACACACACACACGCACACACGCACACATGCACACACACAGAGAGCTCATTCCTGTTAAAGTGGAGAAACAACTGCAAGTCATTCAATAGCCAAGCAGCCACTTGGCTCCAAATGCTGCACCTTTCCAACTATCTGCACAATTACAAAGAAATAAAAAATCTTCAAATCTGCTAAAAGCAAACACAGAATTGGCATGCATGGCTTTCACTTAAATTTAGTTGTCTTCACCATTATGGGCTGTGATTACAGAGAAAGAGCAGTGTTATAATCCTGTACTTCAAAGACAGAATTATATCAAATATTCAGTCCTTAGCAAAGCAAAATCCTTTCTAGTGTTAAAGACAAGATAAAGTTTTCTGTGCCTTCAGTATGAAATATCAGGGTTATAGATAAAAAAGAGTTGCTTAAACTATGCCATAACATTTCATTTAAAATATAATTAGAATGTCTGGTCCACATTGAAATTGTTAATGCAAGCATAACTGTTTAAAAGTTATCAAAAAACTGATTCTATTGAATTGGCCTCTGCTATTTATTTTGTTTTTTGTTTTTTGTTTTTTTTTTCCCTGTAGGTTTCTGTTTGGCAGTAACAGCATGACTTCTAAACTATGTTGCTCTGCATTATTATTATTTTTTTTGGTAAATTTTCTGCATGTATTTTTTAGACAAAAGAAAAATCACCAGTTTATAAAAAAAGGAGCCTGAAGAGTTTGCTCCTGAAATACAGACATGAGGTTTTATAAAAAGGATATTGGTTTCTTGCTATAAAACGTGACTGAAAGGTGTCAGACCTGAAAACAAATTCTCACAGTTTTTTCAGTGTTGGCTGTTTACAAGGCATTCAATAGAACAGAGATAGATGGATACCATTCAGTTTGTGTAATAACTTGTTATGTTGGACAGCCTCCTAGAGGAATCAGATATATAAAATCCTTCACCCCCAACTCTAATTAACTGCTTATTGGTTCTAAATTGCTCCAGTGAAGGAGTTGACAATAAAGTAACTATGCTTTATAAACTCTACTAAGATGTTTAGAGTTCCCAATTCTGCCTAGTCTGTTTTAGCCACTCCTGTATCAGGGTCCTAAGCATCTGGTGTCAGAAATATAAGTTGCTAGTGTTTTCCCCAGTGACAGCCAGAATTGGTGTTAGACAACAAACAGAGTGTTCAATTAGGAGTAAAGAACAAGACCAGGGATCTGCCTTGCCATCCTCCCAGGATCTTACATCATTCTTGAGATTGAGAGACAAGGGATACTTATGTTTGTCACTCTTGGATTTGCCAATGATATTTTCTCCCCACACACATTTTAAGTGCGGTGCATGTAAACAATCCTCTATGAAAGGAAGACTGTCATGTATAAGCAAAGTGAGACTGGGGAAAATAATGCAGGTGCCTAAGTGTTTTCAATAGAAAGGTCATGGACTAGCACATTTCGTATCCCTGGGAAATTACCCCAAAGGATGGTTATCAATCTATCTCTTATAATTGGTAACTGTATATCAGTGGCCCAGAGGAGAAATCACAAGAAAATAAACCCAACATATTACAGTGTGTTTTAAAAAATAACAACAACAAAATAAAAACTTGAAAGCACCAGTAGCCCTGTTGGACACTTGAGCAGAAGTACCCTATTGTAACAGTAAGCTTGGATTTGTACTCTGGACTCTGAACATGCTCTCCTCCTTCACATAGAATCACCAAGTGAGTCTGAGTCATCCAAAGACAGAGGCAGATACAGGTCCTACAAGAAGATAAGAGAAAAAGTTAATTCTCCTTTTCATAACAGCTTGGGCTCTGAAATGGACAAGATTATTGAAAACTGCTTTGGTTTTTTTTATTAATTAATATTTTCCCTAATTTTATTTTGAAATAATTATAGATTTATAGGAAGTTGAAGCACAGGGAGATATCCTTGTACCAATGTATTCTTCACTCAGTTTCTCAATGGTAACATCTTGCAGTTTTCCATCTACTTGTGTATGTATGTGTGTGTGTGTGTGTGTGTGTGTGTGTATTTGTATGCAATTTTACCATATGTGCATAGTTGTGTGACGATCACCACAGTTGAAACACAGAACTGTATCTCAGGCTCCCTTGTGCTACAACTTTATATCACATCTAATCCTCTCCCATCTCTAAGCTCTGGTAAGCGATAATCTGTTTCCCTTCTCTAAAATGTTGACATTTCAAGAATGTTATATAAATGGACCATACAGTATGTAACCATTCACCCATTAAAGGGCACGTGGGATGATTCCAACTTAGAGCTATTACAAATAAAGCTTTTAGAAACATTCACATACAGATTTTTGTGTGAATATAAGTTTTCATTTCTCTGGGATACAGTCAAGGGTATAATTGCTGAATAGTATAATAATTGCATATTTAGTTTTGTAAGAACTTCCATATTGTTTTCTAGAATGAATATACCATTTACACTCTTACTGGAAAAGTATTAGTGATTCAGTTTATCCACATCCTCACCAGTATTTGGTGTTTTCATTATTTTTTATGTTAGCCATTCTTAAGGGTTTGTATTGATATCTCATTGTGGTTTTAATTTTCCTGATGATGAATGGTATTAAATATCTTTTCATGTACATAGTTGACATCTGTAGTTCCTCTTCAGTGAAATGTTTCTTCATGTCTATTGTTCATTGTCTAATTGGATTTTTCTTACTGTTGAGATTTAACAGTTAATTTTATATTCTATGTATGTCTTTGATTAGATATGTGGCTTACAAATATTTTCTCCCAGTCTGCAGTTTGTCTTTTCTTACCCTTGGCAAAGTTTTATTATAGAAAAAGTTTTTAATTTTGATGAGGTCCAATATATCAGTTTTTTTTTTTTCCTTTAGGTGTGCTTTTGTTATCAAGTTTTAGAATTCTTTACCTAGCAGAAGATCAGAAGATTTTCTTTCTGTGTTTTCTTTCTAAATGTTTTACATTTATATCTGAAATCCATTTTTGAGTTAATTTTGCATGACATATGACATCTAGGTTGGGGTTATTTATTCATTTTCGCCTATGGATACCCAATTGCTCCAGCAGTAATTACTTTTATTATTATTATTATTATTATTATTATTATTTTTATCCTCACCTGAGGACATTTTTCCATTTTTTGTTCAGGTAGAGTGGGAAGGAGAGAGAGAGAGAGAGAGAGGAAGAGAGAGAGAGAGAAACATCAACGTGAATGGGACATACTGAGTGGCTGCTACCTGCACTACCAACCAGGGCCGGGGACAAATTGCAACCGAGGTACACACCCTTAGTGGGAACCAAGCCTAGGTCTCTCTAACCGCTGAGCAAAACCTGCCAGAGCTCCAGCAGTAATTATTGAAAAGGTTACCTTTTCTCCATTCACTGCCTTTTGCACCTTTGTCAAAAATTAGTTATGAATATATATGTAGGTTTATTTCAGGCTCTGAGAAAACTGCCTGAACAAATGCTTAGCCCAGAAAATGTACCTTATCTACATATTTCCAACTTATTTCGTAATGCTTCTATTTTCAACAATTAGGATTCATGGCTCCAATACTGTCCCAAGCCTTGTTTATTGTCTTGAGAAAATGGGGGGATGATATGGCATTGTTTTTTTTTTTTTTCCATTGTCCCCAGAACTCTATTTGGAGATCTTGTGAGTCTTCTTGGACTTACTTTACCCATCGGGTAAATCAATGATTTTCAAATCTATCTTTCTCTCTAAATCTCTCTCTTTTCTCATTTTAAATCCTCTGTTCATATGTAATTTGCTTTGATGCCCAATACATAAAAAAAAAAAAAAAGTTTAATTGTTCTAGTTGAACCAGACATGGGGGAGGCAGAATTTCACCCACTTCCAAATGAAACCCAATTTGGAAACCACTGTTTTTATTCATGTTATCAGCAATATACTAAAGGAAACTAGAAAAGTTTAGGAAATTCTGTGGATATTTAAAAGACCTACTTTAGTAAAATGGAGACAGAGAACTTCGATAGAGGATTGTTCAAGAAAATTGGAGAATACAGCTTATTTTTGAGGTAGAAGAGAAAGTGATAATGAGAAAGAGGGACAAGAATGACAAGGAGAATGACTTATTTATCTAATACTTAAAAAATATTTTTGATGGAACAGAGGGGCAGGAAAGTTTTAAGCATCTTAGAATGGAAAGAAGAGTAAAATATATTCAGAAAAATGAGGTTTTAATTCTGGCTAATTAGTACTATAACACTGAATAAGTCTTTTGAGTGTTGATTTCTTCATCAAATAAGGCGGACTTTGGAATGGACAATCTGTAATGTCTCTTCCAGCTCTGAGAATATTATTTGGAACTCTCAAGGGAATATTAAATCATTAAAACACAACGAAGGCAACTATAGTAAATAGACTCACCTCTCACCACCCTGCCATTCCTTCACTGTAAGTCAAGGATTTACAAATTTTTTCTGTAAATAGCCAGATAGTAAATATTTTAGGCTCTTTTTGCTGGCCATATATGGTCTCTGCTACACAGTCTTGTTTTTTTTTTGTTGTTGTTGTTGTTTGTTTTCTTTTTTTTTAAGGGGGTGGGTTGTTTAATGTACAACCCTTTAAAGGCATAAGAAACATTTTTTTTTTTTTTTTACATCAGTGATTCATCCAAAAACAACCAGGACATAGGTAGGATTTGACAACCTTGTTTTGTTTTAAACTACAAGCAAGATTTTCTAGAAAACTGATAAACATATAGGAAGCACAAGGATGAAGAAACAATAAGAATGCAATAAAAATGTGTAAAATGGAATTGAAGTGGCATAGAATGGCGTTGCATCGCTGAAGAGACTTAGTTCTTTATTACTTGAGCAAAGTAAAAATTGAACATAACCAAAAGTATCTTTGAGCTCTAGACTTCCATAATGGTGAAAAAATACTCTAAAAATCTACTTTTACATAAATGTAGTAACACTGGAAAAATTGTCAAAATCAACACTTTCAGAATTCTAGAAATTAAACAATGGTTGCAAAAATCTGTTTATTCAAGAAAAATGGATATATCTCAGTAAAAATACCAAGATGTGTGGTGCTTTTACTAACCTTATTTCCATTTTACCTTTCCCCAGATCAAAGGTAGCTTTGAAAACTAATAGCCTTATCAGTATAGTATCTTGAAAACCGCACCCTAGCAGCCACTGGACAATGCAGAATGGGCTTGGAGCTCCCCAAATTTCCCCAGTCCCTGATAATTGCTGCTTTTCGACATGTCTGGAAACTCACACTTGTAAGGGTCTTTTTGTTTACCCTAACTCAGAGCACATTCCCTGTGAACAGCCTTTTCAGGGAGCATTAATCATCTGCAATTGCTTTAAATCACAGCTTCTTGAGGTGGGAGAAATGTTTAGGGAAAATGAAGCTGCTTAAAACCTTAAAAGGAAAACCTGGGGAATTAATGTCCATAGGGCACTTTGAAACACGCCAACATGAAAGATGGTGGCGGGAAGGACCGGAGGGAGGGTGAGTGTGCAAGAGTGAACTAGTGTGTGAAAGAGTGTGAGTGGATGTGAAGGTGGACAACCAAACTCATGCAGTGCAGACACGGAACAGAAGGTTCCTGTGCTGTGGACAGGGAGCACCCGGCTACCTCAGTAAGCGGCTCTTCAGGGCCCTTCTTTCTGCTCCTCAAGGAGGTCCCACCATTTTGGAAGATCCCTGGTCTTCCTTGCAAGGAGGCAGTGGGAGCGGTTAGGGCCCAGCAACCTGAGCCCACCAGCACACCTGGCACCATTGTACCAGTGGACACTCTGTGTCAACACAGAACAGTGCACAGTAGTGGAGCTGCCAAGGTGCCAGTTGCAGAAGCCACAGTGGCCGGGAGCCCAACACCATCACCCACAGTAGTAGCCCAATCAGAGTCCAGACATACCCCCAGCAACAGATGCTCAGGAGCAGAATCCATCCCCAGGCAACAGAAGCACAGGCCAGCAGCTGAGACCCATCCCCAAAAACTACAGCAAAGGCTGAGCAGGAGTTGAGCCCCACAGGGCAGCAGGGGTCTCTACAGGGACTGTGCCATCCAGCTGCCTGCTGGACCTGCGGGGTGCGGGTGCACCAAGCTGCCCACAAGATAGGAATAGAGCCAGGTGTCCAAAGGGACTGTGCAATCCAGTTACCCACGGGACTTGCAGACTTGCACAGTGGTGAGGCATCAGAGAGGTCTATGCGACCCAGCAGCCCACAAGATAGGCATAGAGCCTGGCCTCCAAAGGAACTGTGCTACCCAGTTTCCCGCAGAACCTGCAGAATTCTGGGGGACCAGAGACGCCTGTGCGACCCAGCTGCGCATAAGATAGGCGTGGAGCTGGGTCTCTGAAAGGACTGTGTGATCCAGCTACCCACAGGACCTGAAGGATGCAGGGGTACCAGAGAGGCCTGTGCAACCAAGATACCCATAAGATTGGTGTGGAGTCAGGTCTCCAAAGGGACTGTGTGATCCAGCTGACCACAGTACAGGCAGGGAGTGCGGCTCCAACAGGGCCTGAGTACTACAGCTACAGGTGGCACCAGTAACCAGCTGGGAACACAGCTCCAGAGGGGCCCACATGATCCAGCAGCAGTACCTAACAAGACACAGCAATACTGGCCCCCAGTAGTCTATCTTTCAGGATCCACAGCAGGCAAGAGGTGACACACAACAAAACAATCTGGGAGGCACAATAGCCTTATTTGATATACAGTGAGCTGCATATACATCCAAACATCTCACAGCAGGTCTAGAGCTACCA